CACAGTCCATGGTGGTTGCAAACAGCAAGGCAGAAACTGGCAAGAGAGCCAGACACACCTTCTTCCTGCCATTACCTTGTATGCTGGCTCTACTTCTATGTGGGTGTAGCACTGACACCATCAATCCAAACACTAGACAATGAACCAATCACAAATGCATAATGCAAATACATGAAGCCTGGTGGCCACAGACATAACTCATGACATCTGCTATTGCATCAATAAACACCGCTGACCCTCTGTAACCAGGCTAATACATTTGTGGATCCAACTAGCTGTGGTTAAAAAAAATTCAGGGAAATGCATGCATGGAACATGTACAGGCTTCCTGCTCGTCATCATTCCCTAAATAATACAGTACAAAAATTTGTGCAGTATTTCCTTGTTTTTGTTTTTTTTAGGTACCAGGGATTGACTCAGGATCTCACACTTGCCAGGCTGGCGCTCACACTGAGCTAAATCCCCAGGGTTTTTTTGCCTTTTTGAGACAGGGTTTCACTATGCAATTCAGGCTGGCCTCGAACTCACAGCAACCCTACTGTCTCAGCCTCCCAAATGCCAGCATTTTTGTTGTATTAAGTACTATAAATCATCTAGGGATTATTTAAGTATACAGGAAGACATGTATGGTTTCTGTGAAATACTGTGCCATTTTACATAAGAACTTTAGTATCAATAAACCCTTGGTATCTGTTTGGGTTCTGCAGTCACTCTCCCATGGATACCAATGAACAACCATGTGTCACTTCATAAAGAAGCATCCCCGTCTGATTGGCACTTGATCCCAAGGGTTGCCATTCTGGGCTTGCTAAGGGAAAGCTGGGTGGGCAGGGGACAGGCTGGCCTCATGGGTCTCCCTGCGTCCAGACTCCTCGGTCTTCACCATGGCTCCTCCCATTCTCCAGTACTCCAGACCAGCTTCCTTATACCACAGCCTCAGGACAGGCCTGGAGACCTCGTCTCCCAAGGCTGACTCTGCAGCTTGCATACCATCACTTCCGGAAGGTTCCACTGGTTAAAGAACTGGAGGGATTCTGGGAACATGGTGGGGGACAGACCCCACATGCTGATGGCAGAGCTTCACTCTTCAACCTAGCACATCTGTGAGATGGACGTAGCAAGGGTCCATTCATAAGTACCTTGTCCTTTGCACCTGGATCAAACAGTAGCCCACATTATCACCTGGATTTGAACCTGAGTTCCACAGCTTGCACACCTCGGCTTCATGCAGGGCTGTCTGCTTAAGACTAGTCCAAAACAAGCACGCTTGCTAGCAAGTCACATCACAGGATGCTGACACTCCCCACCAGTGACATTCCTGAACACAAGACAGAGGTCTCATTGGTCTGGCAGTTGGCACTGCAAGATTATAATTAAGAAGAAAAAACATCTCAGCATCTAAAAGTTTCTGATCTAACCAATGGGGCAGATCCAGCTGGTCTAACTTCATTCTAACAGTTTAGCTTCCAGCCAAGATGTGGAAACACTGATTAGGTAAGAGCCTGCCAGCCCTGGGGAGGGGGCTGCCTCCCTCATCATCTCCATGCAAGTGTATCCACAGTTCTCCATCTGAAAAATATTCATGGCAGTCGGGGTGGAGGAACTCCATGAGAAACACCAGAGGGATGCACACAAGTTTAGCACTCACAAACGAGAACGGGAAGTAATTTCACATCTATCAAATGCATCTTTCCTTTCCCAGATGGATTTGCCAACAAAATGAGTTTCTCCTTATAACAGCAATGGGCTTCAAGGACATCTTCCCGTCCTCTGAGAAATCTTGATGGAAAGCCAACAATCCTCCAACATTTGCGGAGAAGCAGTCTTCAAGAAAGAGGCTCAGTGTGCAGAGGTATAAGGCACAGGGAAGTAAGGTGTTCACACTTGCTTCAGGGTCCCCCAACTCGTAGGCAGAAGGGGCAAGTCCTCTATGTGTGAGAGGCTGAGACTCACAGATGCAGGTGTTCCTAGACTGGCTCTGGCGCACTGTGACAATGAGAAGCGTGGACAAGCTGGTCACAGCAGCGGGTGCTCATGTTTGCTCACCTCGTGCATGTAGCCAAGCCCTGAGGAGCAGCATCTGATTCCATCCTCAAGCCCACAGAAGGCAGAGCTGCCGTGACCCTTGCTTCACAGACAAGAAAGTAGGCCTTGCAAGCTCCAGTGATGGGATTTCCAGTTCCCCAAAGGTATTGAATTTCAAAGCCAGGTATGATGAATGCTGCATGCAACCTCCTGGGTCTCTAACTGCAGAAATCCCCACAGTACCCCAAGCCAGGCACAGCCTTCCTGCTTGGAAAGAGTCAGAAGGGAGGTTAAAACTGACATGGGATTCATAGCAGAACTGGAGCAGAAGCTTCTGAAGACAGAGAAAACAATGACAGCCAAGATCAATGCACATGTGTGTACTGGTTTGCTAGGGCTGCCCCACAGAGTGCCATATCCAGGTGGCCTAAACAGCAGACAGTCCTTGTCCCATGTCCTGGAGACTACAAGTCTATGCAAGATCTAGATGTCACAGGGCTGGTCCCTCCTGAGGCCTCTTTTCCTGGCTTGCAAATGGTATCTCTTCATGTGTCCTCACATGGTCCACTGTGTCTGTCTGTGTCCTGATCTCTTCTTATAAGGACATAGTATTTCTATAAAGGACCCCTCCTCAAATGCAATCAGATTCAACCCATAACTGCTTAGCAGAGAGGAGCGGGGAATCTCCTTGCCTTCCTCATGGACATGTAAGGTCGTCAAGCAAACAACAGCTTGGAGCTGTTTCCAAAGGCTTGCTGAGCCCTCCACACAGTAGGCTCTTTTCAGCGGTGTGGTGATGTCAGCTGTGCAGACATACCTGTTACACACGGAGGTGCAGGTGCAGAAGCTGCACCCTCTGTCTCCCCAAAACTTCATTATAAACAACTCTACACACATCTCAAAAACTGAAAAACTGTGATGAAAATCAGTGTAGTGCCCAAATAGCTCACACACTTAATTATGTGTTGCCTCATGTGTATGGGTGTCTGTGTGCATGTAAGGAGGTGTGTGATTTCCTGCTGAACCACTGTGATGCTTTCTTCTCGAAGTCCCTCAGCATCCGTGGGAATGAAGGACATCCTCCCACAGCTAGTGTCGCAGTCAGAACATTAGCATTTGTTCCCAAACAGCCTCTAAGACCCATTCCATACCCACAGTTTCTCCAAAGGCCTCTTGTCTGGAACCCTTTGTATTGTCATACTTTGGAAAAAATTCACACAGTGAAACGCATGGACCTCACACGGTGAGAGTGATGCAGTCCAATGGCATCATCTGCCCAGATCACCATCACTCAAGTCAAGAACTGGAATATTCCCATCAGCCCATGTCTTCCCCCACCTCCATCTCATTTCCTCCCTCCCACCAGCCAGAGCAACAAGATCCTGACTTCTCTCACTACAAATCAATCACGTCTCCCTGTTGAATGTCACACACGTGAACGCCTATGTTACACGCTCTTGTGGGTCTGCTTTCTTTTGTTCTAGAAGTGCAGAAATCAACTTTAGATGTTTTCTCATAAGTTTGAAAAGCCAACAACTATAAGACTCAGATCAACACCTGAAAACCTCAGTATCCCAGTGATCCAGGCTCAGCTGCCACAAACACCACTGCCGTGACTCAGAAACAGCATTTCTCACCCAGGGACAAGGGTTTTGTTTTGTGTTTTTCTCTTTTTCCTTTTAAATAAAATTAAAAAAAAAGAGTAAGGCCAGGAGTGGGAATGGTTGGTTTCCTAAGGAAGCACACCACAGTCGTCATGCTACGGGGACACATTTGTAGCATCCCAATGGATGCTACAAATCAGGATAGCACTGAGCCCTTCATATGCAGAGGGGAAATTCACCATTTTGCTCAAATAAAATGCTTTATGGCTTTTCTTTAGTATATCAAAATTTCCAGCCTTGCTACTCTTGTGAAAACTGGAGTCACTCTTAAGTGACATAAGGGTCATTTGGGCCCTATGACCCCTGTGGCTCTGATAACCAAGATGGCCACAAAGTGACTAGTGGGCAAGTGACATATACAGTGTGGGTGTGCTGGCCAAAATGGTGATTCACGTCCTGGGCAGGAGGAAGCAGATGGGTGAGAGTTTTTCATGCTCTCAGAATGAGAGGCAATTTTAAGGCTTAGGACTTCTCTCTGGAATTTTTCCACTTAAATATTTTTGGACAGAGGTTCACAGAGAGTAACTGAAATTGCAGAGAAAGGGGGGGTTACTGTTCTCAGTTTATCTTAACAGACACATAAAATACTTCATGGTGCAAAGAGAGCTAATAAATTAAACTACAGAAATGAATCGGGCATGCCCATCCCCAGCCTCATCTTCCCTCACCACCACCTCACCATCTCCGAGTATTTATAAATAAATTCTGACTGGGTCATGTCTTTTTGAGAAAACAACATCACACTTGTCATTAATCCCAGTGCCACAGAAAAAAACTTATTATGGAAAGAGATCTGCGTCCCCTCTCTTTTCCCTCATTCACCCTAAATTGCAGAGCCCATTAAAATAACACGGCTCACTCAGGGGACACACTAACACCCAGGGGCCGCTGGCTGCTAAGATGCAGCGGATAGTATGTGAATTGGATTCTACACGATTAAATAACATAAAATTGCATTTCAATACCTTGAGGAATAAAAATAATCAAGAGACATTTACTTTGTTAGGAAATACCTGGGGATAGTGCTCTATAATCAGCAGGTAAAGTCTGAGAGAAGGAAGAAAATGGAGGAGGGAGGAGAGAGGGAGGAAAAGAGGAAAAGACACTGATTTTCCTGAAGAGGTTTCTAAATCCTTGTCTAAGGGTCCCATTTTCACCACATCCTTACCAGCACTGGTTATGCAAAGTTTTTATTATAGCTGTTCTAAGTGGAATGAGATGAATCTCATTGTAGTTTTGTGTTTTTCTGACAGCTAATGATACTGACCATTTTTCACATACCGCATACCCAAAGTCACCAAATCAGCCTACCGAAGAGACACTTGCACACCCATGATGACAGCAGCACAAGTCAATGCAGTTAAGATGTGCACTCACTTCCATGCCGCTGGAGAGCTGAAAGGATAAAGCAAACGTGATACGGAGCCATCCTGGGATATTATTCAGCCATAAAGGAGAATGAGAGCCTGTCATTTGCAACAAAATGGGTAAAGCGAGCAGACATGATGTTAAGTGAAAGAAGCCAGACATAGAAAGATAAGGGTTGCATGTTCTCTCTCATTGGTGGAAGCTAAAAAGAGTCAACCTGAAAGTAGCACAGTGATTCCAGGGGATTGGCAAGGCTGGATTTGATCAATTCACGTCATATGCATGTATGGAATAGCATATTGCATCCCATTCATATGTACAGTTTATATACGTTAATAAATTTTTTAAAGATCAATTTTTCAAAACAATTTAAAACCACTATAAATATAAGCCGAGGACTCAAAGTTCCCACTTAAGGATTTGAGGGCTAAAAGGGGTGATTCTGGGGAGAAATACCCAAAAGCTATCCCTCTCAGATCTCATGACTCTGGGGTAACCATGTGTTCCTAATCAATCAGCCCTTTTACCTTCCATTTGGGAAGCAAGGCTGCATGCCAGGGTCATCTGAAGGCTCAGACACTGCTGGTCACACCTGAGTACAGACCACCAGCCCCCATGTGGGTTGTCAGAGCAGTGGCACAGTGGCATGGATCTTTATTGCTTTTAAATTAATCGCCTTTTGAATTATTCACATGGGTGCTACAAACACAGAACACTATGGTGGCAGCAGATTCTGTGCAGGGCTGCTGTGCTCTTGGACAGGTGACTGATCCCAGCCATGCATGGTAGTTCGGCAGCATCTTTCTCAGGACCCCTGAGAATGCAAGACCTGCCGGCTGCATTTGACAGCCATTCCTGACATAGAGCTGGGGACCAGCAGAGCCACATGGGCAACACTGTACTACAGGCAGATCCTCCTCATTCCTCTGGTCTCCCTGTGACACAGTCATTAGGAGAAGAGCTCATAGGTTTCCTGACAGCCTGAAGCTCCCCAACCAAGGAGCCATGTTGAGATTACCCCAGTCCTAGCCCCCACTCTGATCCTGGAGCCGATGGGAGCATACAGGAAGTCTACAAGGAGGCTTCTTAGCATTACAACTACCTTGTAACCAGTAAGAGAGGCTGAATATATGGCAAGGAAGACACTCAGCAACTGCAAACACTGAGAATGTTCTAGGTAACCACCCCATTCACTTCTGAAATGTCCTTTACCCACTATAAGCTGCAGCTGGCTGCTTTGCTTGGTCGTGGGAATGTATTTTGTGGGTGGAGCTCACTCTTCTCTGCTGTTGGCTTGTGATCACCTTTCAGAGGATTTCTGGGCATCGCCTGTTTACATGACAAGTTCATCCTTAGGTCCTGATAGAATCGATCAAAATACTAATGTGTTCTTTTAAACACAGAACTTGGTCTCTTAGGGACACTTAGCTGCCACTGGGAATCTCATCTCAAATGTGCATGGCTGCTGTTCCAAAATCTGCCAGTGCATGTTAGCAGACTGTATGCACCCCCTAAAATTCCTTAGCAACTACATCCTGGTGCCTAACATTTTAATTCCTTCGGTTATGATTCATGGTGCCATCTGTGGACAGATAATGAGAGACAATAATCCAAGAATAGCCACCAGGCATGTGTTCAGCAGAGTTTTAGCATCGATGCCTCCACGTCAGGGGAAGAGACGGGGGCCACACTAGGAGGTACCTCACCTGCCAGGGAGCATGCAGGACTCAGTGGGTTGGATCAGAGGGTGGTTAGCCCCTACCTGCCCTTGATTTCCAGAGAATACCTAAAGAGTAGCTTCAGGGTCCTGGAGATGACTAATGGCAACAGATATAAGGGAGAATCCGCAGGAAGCACATCACCCACATGGGGCACCTGCCCTGTCAGGTAGGACGGTTGGGTAAAGGAGGGGGATGAGACTGTGAAAAAGGAGGCCCCTGAGTCCCCTTAAGCCTGGTACATAGAGTTCATTGTCCTCTTGTAAATTTGAGATTCTGCTTTAAGACTTCTGTACTGTCTAATGATACTCAGGTGTCAGACATCTCTCTTTCTTTTCATAATTTCCAAAACATGTCAGCTTCCTATTGGTTTAGAAAATGCCCCCCAGGACCAGCAGATATGCCTCATGGCTGCACCTGCTACCCATCAACTTAAGGGCAGGGCATGTCCCCAGAGGTCCCCAGAATTTCCACATTTGCGGGGTACAGGAATGTGTAGGCTAGATAGTGACTTCTCTCAGTTGTTTGTCCAAAGCTGCTGTAAACCAGCTAATCCTCCCTCCTGCAAATACAAGGGATAAATGACCTTGGTTGTCCCCTGTTCTATGGGGAAGGGAGCAGGTAAATTAGAGTCCAGACAACCTGAGTCCCTGTAACACATCCTGCTGGGGTTAATATGAGAGCTGATTTGAGGAAAGGTCAGGGGGGCATGGAACTACCTAGAAGGGGCAGGATGGAAGCCAGGACCAAGTGATCCATCTGCCCCCTGTCACACGGTCACATAGCAGATGTTGGCAGGAAAAGCTCTTAGCACTTCTGGATTATTATGCTGGCAAAAACCAGAAATGTGAAATCCTGGAATACACTGCATACACACACATACACATGCTACCATCCACCACCCTTTGATGTAGGAATCAGAGCAAGTTTTAGAATTATTTCCAGAATTCTAAGGAGCATGATTCACTGGAAAGAGAACACTGATGTCATTATCCTCCTGTGTATTCAGGTGGCAAGAAGTCCCCTTGGCCACCCCTCCCCACAGTAGGCACAGCATGCAGCATGTCCTTGTGTCTGGAAAGTGGCTGCAAACACGCAAGATGACTCGGGCTCTCTCAGCTCCAAGCCTGCAGCTGCACACTCTGGGCCAGAAGCCTGGAGAAATGTGAGCCGGGCCAAATGGATCCCAGGAGGAGACCAAGCCCCTGCAGGCTCTGTGCTGGGATGTGCACCCTCTTCCCGCCAGGATCAATCACGTGGTTCCTGACAACGTGTGCAGACTTAAGGTGCTGATGGCATACAGCTGGGGACACTGGCATTGCTTGGAAGAACTGTGCTTTATTTTTTCAACAGAAAAGCAAAGCAATGAGAGGGAAATGATCATGAAAAGCTCCTCTGAGGGAAGAGAGCAAGTTACCTTTCGGCCCTGAGAACACAGAAACCTCCATCCAGCCTGTTCCAAAGCAGATACAGCTGTGTAGCTTTGGATGTATTGCCTAACAGCTCTGGGCCTCAGAGGTAAATATAAGCAGAGATACTATTCCCTACCTGTAGTGTATATTGTCAATTAAAGACAGTGGGTATAGACTAATTAGCAATATTGCTAGATACACAAGCCTTCACTAAATGGTAACTCCTGCTATACATAATTATTTTTAACAACACTCTATAAATGGCAGAGAGAAATGTTTTTAAAAATACCACCTAGGGCAAAAGAAAAGAGTGGAAAAGAGAAGAAGAAAGCTGGACTTTATGTACATACTTCATTTTATATATTCAACTTTAAAATGATGCAAATATTTCACAATTATAAACCAAAATTAAACCCTTAAGAAGCGACCATTAAAAATTGAAACAAGAATTAAAGGAATTTCTGCATGCATATGGCTGCTGGCATAAACAAACAGAGAAAATTATTGCAAATGACTTCCCCACACAGTAATTTAATTGCATCTCCCTAACGGGACTGACTCCAATGACAAAACACAACCGCAGATCAAAGTCTGAAGCCATTTTAGCACCAGGCTGTTGGTGGAAGTGTCAGTATGAGTATTTAGAGGATTCTGTGAGAGTGTGGCAGAGCAAATCATAATTAGAGCGATGCTGCTCATTAAAAGGCGAGGCGTTAGCCAGGCATGCTAGTGTATGCCTGCTATCTCAGCTACCAAGGAGGGTAAGGCAGGAGATCATGAAGTTCAAGGCCAGCTTAGGTAACTTAGCAAGATTCTGTTTTATTAAACTAACACAATGAAGCAAAATAAAATGGGCTGGAGAGTCAGATCAGTGGTAGAGCACTTGCCTAGCACTCATGAGGCCCTGGGTTCAAACCCCAGCACCACCTAAAAAACTAAAACAACATAAACCCACCTGAGATTTGCAGCACAGTTGGAGACATGGATTAAGATTTAAAATCCAGGGGATTAAACACATTTCTGTGATCTGAATGTACAAAACAATATTGGGAGGTGGGGCCTCCTGAACAGGTCAGGAGAGCTCTGTCCACACAGACAGAGGACTGTCCTCCCTCCGGAGCGACCTTGTGATCTCAGGAATGGGTTTGTTAGAACACAAGTCTGGCCCTCCTTACTCTTTCCTCTTGCCCTCTACTTTCTTCCAGAGACAACAGAGTCCAAGGCCCTCACCAGCTCCAGCTTCCTCCAGAGCAGTGAGCCAAGTAAATTCTGCTCTCTACACATGACCCAGGCCTAGGTTTTCTGTGATCGCAGCAGAAAACGGTCTAAGACATTCATGGTGTGTATGACCTTTAAAATAAGCACCCTTGCATTTATGTGTGGCCCCAAGCCACTGCTTTCCACTAAGAGGAATCAGGCTTCTCAGGAAGTACCAGTTACATGTCTGAGACAAAGAGCAACTTCCCAGGACAGCGTGAAACATTTCACCACATCAGAAACTAAGGAAGCTGTCAATTATCCTGAGGTCATGCCAAAAGCACACAAGCTCTGTGGCTATGGAATAACAGAATGAAGCAATCACAGACAGATGAGTGATTACCAAGAGGAGACTGGACAATAAAACGCAATGGCAAACACCTTTCTGCAGGCACCAGAGAGCTACCAAGACTGAGAAGACCAGTGATGCCAGGCTCTGGGAGGGGACAATTGTCCAGGTGAGCAGACCCACAGCTGTTCCTCCTCTGGGGTCCCTAGGACATTCTGGACTTGGGAAAGGCTCAAGAACTGGTCTCCATCTCTGCTGGGTTCAGGGAAGTGCCAGAGACTTAAGTGGAGTTCAGGCAGCAAACTTCGCAGGGTCAAAGTATAGAGAGAGGGCAGAGTGGGAGGCAAAATC